CCTCTCCAGTGGAAGCTTTGCTGTGTTCCTTAAGGCCCTAGAGCTAGGACTGAGGACCTGTAGTCCAAGAACCAGCATCCTGTACCCCCTGGATCTCCCACCACACCCTCCAACCTGCCCTACCTCACCTCCCCTGACAAGCTGCCACCTCCTTCTCTCTCTCCCAGCTCCCTAAGGCAGTTGGTTACATAACTGGGGATTCTGCATTATTTATGACCACTGATTATTTTTTAATTCTGTGATTACGTTATTATCTTCCTGGGGGGGCTGTGGAATTGGAGGGGCAGGGAGCTGACCATGATTCATGGCTCTCATCCTGCAATTTGGCCTAATTGGCCAGGGAGCTTCGGTAAATCTGTCCGGAGGAGGAGAAGGCAAAGAGAAAAGGGAGGAAAGGAAGGCGTGAACAAAAATAATAAGAAAAAAATCCGCGCAATTCTTGCTGAGCTGCGGGTGATGGAGCTGACCCACTTTGGCACAGCTCCGTGGTCCCCAGCCTCTCCTGCTCCAGCTGCTTCCTGGCTGGGCCACATTTATCTCACACTTGCATGGCCTGTGGCTTTCCCTGCCACCTTCAGACAAAGCCCCTTGCCGATGGGACTGCACAATGGAATGGCCAGGTAACAGAATGCCAGGATGCCTGCTTCCTAGGCAAATCCGGTGGGGGGATCCTCCACTGCCACCCCAGGGTGGGGAAAGGTTGTGCCAACCTCTCCATCCTCCTAAGGTGTTTGGGCCAAAGTGGGCAACTATGCCCTTAAGTTATATCCCACCTAAGAGTCACCGATGATGTGGGCGACACTGGTGGTATTAATGCAAGGATCACTATTGGGCCCCCATGTTAAGTGACACCTCGGGGAGGGGAAAACCAAGGACGAGGAGGCCAAGTACCTGCTCAAGGTAAGCTTAATACCTGGGGGCTAAGGACGAGGGCCCTTAACCCTGCCCTTGGGAGCTTCTGGTGGGTGGGTAACAGAGAAGCAGTGGGGAGGCAGATTCCCACCCAGAAACATGACCAGCAGATTCCTGGAGAGTGTGTGGGATTCTCACTGAGAACGAATCCAAATTCCGTGCCATGCTGTACACGGCTCAATGGAATCTGACTCCCTGCTCCCTCCTTGACCTTTCCTCTGCTCTTCTCCTTGTTCACTGCCCTCCAGCTGCTCCGGCTTCCTTACCGAACCTGAATATGCCAAGCACACTTCCTCCCTGAAACCTTGGCACTGGCTGCACCCTCAGCCTGGAATGCTCTTCCCCTAGATAGCCAGTGACTTGTATCCTCACTTCTGTGGCGTCTCTGTTCAAAGGCCACCTTATTGGAGACCCCCTTCCTGCCCCCATCCCTGTCACTCTCTATCCGCTTTCCCCACTGGCAGGGAGTGAGAATGCTGACTGCAGGAGAAACTAAGGGCCAGGATGTGGTCCTGTCCTCCCTGGTCATGGCTAAGAAACTGATGTGATTCCAGAAAACAAGGCCGTACGTGGAGCTGAGGAGCAGGCCAGTGCTAGAATAATTCATTAAAAACATCTAACAGATACGGAGTGAGCTTTGTGCCTCTCATTGTGCTAAGTGCTTTATGTATGTCTCATTTAATTCTCACAACCACCCTGGGGCAGGGGTAGGGGAGGAAGCCTAAAATGTAGTCTCCTCATTTTTACCGATGGGAAAACAGAAGCACAGAGAGGTAAGGTAACTTTTGCAAGTTCACACAGCTAGGGAGAGAGTGGAATTCAAATGTGAACTACAGGCATCTAGCTGCAGAGCCCATGCTTGTAGCCCCTGAGCGGTTCTGCATCTCTAACTTAAGATCTACGGAACTTTGAGGAGCTTAGAGAGCCTGCTGGGACTGGCCCAGCATCCTGGAGTATTGGGGAGCCTGGGAGAGATAAGGGCTAATTAATGATTGACCATCATGTCCCTCTGCAGCACAATTTTAGCTTTCAAAGCACTTTTACGTTCCTCACCTCACTTGATCCTTTAAAAGACTTTCCCCACCAATGGGATAGAACTTGCTCATCGTCCAGGGAGCCAGTGGCAGAGCTATAGCAGGGGTTTGCGAGGGCAAGGGAGGTGTGGGAGAGGGAACTCCAACTCCTCTAGGAGTGTGAGAAGGTGTTGACCCCCCGCACTGCATGCCAAGCCCCTAATAAATCCTTGTAAGGTCACCGTGCAGTGCAAATCACCATATCCCAATTTCAGAGATGAGCAAACTGAGGCTGAGGGACCTGGGGAGGAAGTGCTTTGGTGTGGCTCATCTTTCAGTGAATTTCAGGCCATATGCTCAAGAGGATGAGGAGGGTCTGCCACAATCAGTGGCATCAGGGGGCTGGGGAAGGGGAGTAGCAGGCAGAGGAGGAAGATGGCCGAGGGGAATAAAGCTGAGCCCTTCCACTCCGCTGGCCTTGTTCTTTCACCAAGCATCTGTGCAGCCCCCCATCCACAACAGTCTTGTACGTGATTCTCATCTCTACTTCTGAGTGCTTGGCCTGAGACAAGAACCCAGCTGGTGGGTTCTAAGCTGGTGTTGCCCAGGTCATGGGGTGAGGTAAGGGAACAAGTGAATGCCTCTCAACCTTGAGCCTACCCATGCCCCTGATAAAAAAAATGCTACACAAAGGGACTGAGGAGAGCCAGGCAGATGCAGCTTTACAACTCCCTTGGAGAACCAAGAGCCAAGACCACAGGTTCCAGAGAGCAGGGAGGTTCCAACCCTTTTCTCCAAACCAGGGTGTGGCACCCCCCTTGGTAACCCCATCTCTGGCAAATCCCATCTCACAGGAATACAGTGATGGCATCTCTTCTTCTGCTTGGGCCTCCCAGAGCTTCACCTGCCTTCCTCCACGCTCCCCTCTGCCTGTCACCCTGTGTCTAGACCCCGCCTGGGGGATGAGAGAGTTCTGAGGCTTACCCACTCCCCCAGCTGGGTGCCATTGGCAGCGGGCAGGCAGTGGCATACGGGGTAGGCTCTGGTTGCCGTAGCAACCTGCCAAAGTCTTGGGTGGAGGCACATGGCCTACAGGGTGTGTGGGGGGAGGGGACTCATTTTTCTCTGTCCTGGCTTAGGCCTCTGGGCTGCATAGCCTATGAACCTGGAGCTCTGCTATTGGAGACATGGGAGTGGGTGAGTGTGAAAGGGAAGGAGAGGGCATCTAAAAGATCTGCAAATAAATTCTAGAGCTATTGCATCACAGATGAGCATAAGGGATCATCTCTGGAAGGCCCCTGTCAAAATGCAAAGAGATCGCCCAGTTGCTCACCTGCTGAAACCCCAGAAAAGGCATCAGGAACCCGAGTTCTAGGCTTACTTCTGCCACTGGTAGGCTGTGTGACCTTGGACAAGCCCCTATTGCTCTCTGGGCCTCAGTTTCTTCAATAGTAAATGGCTGTCCTATGAGATCCCTTTGAGCTCTGGGTGGCTATGCTGGGGGGAGAGGGAACACAGATGCCTGGAAGATGCCCAGCTGGGAAAAGGCTGGGAGTTGTATCAAAGTTGACTCCCAGGTTTAGAGTCAATCCTGGCTCTTTGTAGGTACCTGCCAGGGCATGGGTCTCATGTCCCCGGCCAAGATTGAGACTTTGGACAGTTCCTATGGCCCTGATTTAAAATAAGATGGGGGCAGGGGGGAAACTGTAGTGCCTTGGACCCAAGAGGTTAGAGGAGGAAGGGTTGCACAGGGGCATCTGGCATTTGATCTCCAAATTGTACTGTCCAAAGATGTGCAACCCAGACTATGGCCAGCCCAGTCCATGGGCAGAAGCACCACCACCTCAGTCTGCCCAAAGCAATAGTCATTCCCATCTTCTGAGATGGAATTTCCTGACAGGCTCCATGAGGCTGACCCTGGACAGCTCCTGTCCTGGCATCTCTATGCCCACTCCCTACTCCATTCTGAACACAGTGCCTGTCAAACAGCCCCTCCTCCTTGGCTCTCAGGCCAGGCTGCAATGCCACTTTGTCAGCCTGGAGTTGGTACCTACCATCACCCCACCTCTTCAGCCTTCCTAGAGCCCCTAACCTTCCTGCACAGCTAGTCATGGAGAGCTTGAGCCCATAACTCCAGCTCAATCACTCTCCCTGCCGTCTCTGCAGAGGCCCTCGTTACAAGGAGTTGAAATTTGCCTAAAGCCCACCTGGCTGGTATAATGGCACCCAGCGGGCAAATTCAGGCTAGCAGCTCAGAACGCTGGTCATGCATTTTGGACTCGAACGCAGCCCAGGGGGCAGGGCTGAGGACATGTGTACCTCATTACCCCAGCGATGTGAGCAGCAGTAATTAAACCCGGCTCCACTTAGAAAGACAGAGAGGGACACACACATCCCAGCATTTCTCAGTGGTTTTTCAGCCTTGGCAAAAATATTTAGAACAGTGGGATGGAGACATGCATCCCCTTAGGGAAGATTCCTGCCCCTGCCACAATATGCAAGGAACTCTGTTATCCACTACAGCACCCCCAGACCCATTCTTACCCCAGGACAAAGAGGACATAGTTGGCTTAAATTTTTCCAAGATCAAGGGTTCTCAGTATCTGTGTGATTTCTGGGGATATGCTTTGAGCTGGGCCTCAAGCAGTTGGAATCACCTCAGCAGAGCCATCCACACTCTCCCAGGGCCCCTTGTGACCAGGTCAGAGTCTGGGAGACAGATGGTGGGGTCAAGGGTCAGCTTGGGTCCCAGAAGGGTGTCTTCCACTAAGAAGCTGCCGGGGATTCAGTCCTTACTGGCCATCTTGGCAGCCCTTGGTGCTAATCCAGAGCTCCAGGCCCACTGACATGCTGCTCAAGCAACCTCTACAACACCAAGGCCCCTCCAGCCTTGGTATGAGACTTTTAGCAAAGCGGATTTGGGGAAAGGAGAGCAAGGAGAAAGAAGGTCCCCAGTAGAGTGACACATGTGCACACAGCTTTGCACACTCCAACATATTTGTGAGTATGTTTTTGTGCCAAGCCCAGGAAGGCCAGCTTTAGGGTCTGTCTGGTCGCTGCTCATCCCTCACTTACCTCCCTCAGCTCCTTGGCCACCTCCTTGAGCTCGCGAAGGATGCCCTCAAGCTGCCCGATGACCATCTTCATGCGCTGTCGAATCCGCTCCCGCTCACCACCACTGCTGGGGTCGTCACTGGGCTGCCCGAGGTCCGGGGCGCCCCGAATGTTCATCGTTTACCACGTGGCCGCAGGCCTGCCCATACTCCCCCCAGCTGGGCACACGCTGCGTCTGCCTCCACGGAGCCCCCCTCGGCTGGGCAGAGCTCCACATCTTAACGGCCCCCCAGCCCACCCTGGCCCTGGGCGGCCCTCAACCAGCCCCTGCCCCCTGCCACCCCGCCTCCTCTGCCTCTGGGTGGGGAGTGGGACACCCAGAAGAAGACAGAGTCTGGCAGAGGGGGTCAAGGTGAGGACACGGGAGGGCAGGGGGAGGGGCGTTGGGTCCCAGGAGTGGCCTCCAGGTCTTGAAGTGCCTGTGGGTATGCAGAGCTGATCTCTGCCTGAGCTTGAACACAGAGGCAGGGGGATGACTCTGCAGGGACTAAGGGTAAGAGATGCCCTTGGGATGGGGGAAGGCAGCAGGGATCCCCTCACAACTCCTAGGCAGTTGCAAAGGCAGAGGTCTCTGGATGCAACTGACACCTGCAGAGGGATGGTGGCCAGGGTCTTCCAGATGTGGAAGGGGCTCCGGATATGGGCAGCTCTGGGGAGGGAGCTGGATTGGAAGAGGGCAGCCCCCTGCGGAGAGAGTGAGCCTGGCGTCAGCCCTCCTAGGCTGCAGCACCAGCCGGCAATGCCGCTGCCTCCCTCCTCTCGCCAGCCTGCACCCTTCCTCGCTGGAGATTTTTTTTTTCTTTGTGGGGAGGGGTGGTGGAGGCAGATGGTTTACAGCACAGCCCCTCCTCTAGAGGGAAAGGGAGGGAGCCCCTGCTTTAGAAGCAGAAGTCCTCAGCCTGCTACGGGGCACCCTGGCCGTAGCTCCCGCACCCCCCCCATCCCCCCAGCCAGGCCTGCCCAGGCTGGTTCACCAGAGGGCCTCTCCAGTCACCCATCCTCCCTCATAGCGCCCTCAGGGTGCCCTCGTTCCCAGTGGACCCTCCCTCCCTCAGCCCCGCCTTCCCTCAGAACCCCCACTCCTGGACTCACCGAGGGTGGGGGCACCGGCCTTCCCTCCAAGCAGCGTCGGGGGCCAAGCCCCAAGACGGGGTTGGGGGGCCCCCAAGGCTCCCTAGGGCGGGCTTCTCTCTCTGGACCCTTCGGCCCCTGGCCTCAGGGAGGTCCTCCGAGCCGTGACCGGAGACATCTGGGCGGTGAGGGGGGGCGGGGCCTCCGCACTCCAGGGAAGGGGGCAGTAAAAATCTTTCTCAAGCCTCTCCAGGCTCGGGGTCGGGAACGAGCGAGGGTTCGGCGGATTCGGGGCTCTGAGGCCACAGGTGACCGGGGCGCGGGGAGGCCGAGGAGACGCCGGGCCGGTCCCAGCGCGTGAGCCAAAGTCGGAGGGCTGGGAGGGCGCCGGGATCCCCTCAGCCCACGTCCGGCATTCCCCGGGCTCTGCACTGTCCGGGATTCGCTCTGTCCAGTCCAGATTGCCCGGATCCGGGCTCCGCCGGGGTCTGCCCTGCCCTACCCAGCCCGGAGTGAGCTGGCACCGCCGGGCGCCCGGGACGCGCTTAGCCCGGACCCAGAACGTCCGCGCCCCGGCACCCGCGGCGTCCGGAGCGGCCGCGAAGGTCCGCTCAGCCCAGCCCCGCGGTTGGCCCTGGGCGAGATCGCTCCAACGGCTCAGTTCACGTTCCGAAAGGTCCGGAATCCACCGGGTCCCCGAGGAGGGGCGGTGTCAGCCGCGGGGACCCAGTCCTCGCCGGGCCCAGCCGAGAGCGCGCGAAGCCGGGGGCCCTGGCCGGGCTGGGTTCGGCGGCCCGGGCGCAGGCGGGAGCAGCGCCGGTAGGAGGAGAGGAGAGGAGGCGAGAAGAGGCGAGGGGAGGAGGCGCGGCGAGGGGAAGTGAGGGGAGGGGGCGCGCGTCGGGCCGGGCCGGGCCGGGGCGCTCAGGGCTCGCAGCCTCCGCTCCGCTCCGCTACCTCCCGCGCCGGTTCGCTCTCGGCTCCCCGCCTCTGCAGCCCCCGGGCTCCGGGTCGCCGCCGGTGGGGCAAACAGGCGCTGGGTCGGGGCTGGGCCTCCCTCCGCAGCCTCGCCCTGCCCTGCCCCGCCAGGCTCCCGGGGCCTGGGCCCGCTCCCCGAGCGCCGCGGCGCCGCGCCGCCCGCGCCCCGGCCGCCCCCGGCCCGCCCCGCCGCCCCCCGCCGGACTGGCCGCCCGGGCGGGCGCTGGCTCCCTTAAAGGCCGCCCGGCTCGCTCGGCTCCGCTCGCCTCGGCGCTGTCAGGGAAGGGGCCGGCCCGCCGCGCCGGGAGGGAGCTTTTAAAGCGACACACACGCCTCCTAACCCCGAGGGCCAAGCGCGCGAGCCGGGCTGGGGGGTCTTGCTACCCGGGCGAGGGGGAAGGGTCTCGCTGGCGGGGCTGGAGGCGGACTGACTGGACCTCACGCCGGCTGACCTGAGGCACGGAGGGGCAGCGTTCTAGGTACTTTGTTCCTTTCCCACCTCTCCAGACACCCCTATTGCCCCCCTCCCCTACTGCGCTGTCCCCAAGCTTCCCTTTTGGTCACATTTCCTGCATCCAGACCCTCCCTTCTACCCCCCACATAACCCACCCCCGACCTTGCCTGAAATCACGTTAATTCAGAAAATAGAATACTGCCAATGTTTCCTGAGCACCTACTCTGTGCCAAGCTCTGGGTCGACAGGGCTGGGGGTTGGGGGCTGTCTTGGACACCCATCGTTTCCTTCAGCTATTCAGCCATTGACTCATGTATTAGAGACCTTCTGTGCATCAGGTTCCATGCTAGGCTCCGGGGCCACCGGAGCATTTCAGGAAGCTCACTGGCTCGGGGGCACTCCTGAGTCACAACAGAGGCAAATTCTGGAAGCAATGTTAACGGGGGGTAGGGAAATGTGGGTGGGGGGGTGCAGTTCAGGCCAGGGCCTGGCAGATTCTGCCAGGTAGGCAACCCCCGAGCTGAATCTCAAAGGAGGAGTAGGAGTGACTGTCAGTGTGGGGGGGGGGTGGTGAGGATCAGCATTCCAGGCAAGGAGGAGGGTGGGAGCACAGGCTCAGGAGCAGAAATGGGAGGAGGGGAGTTTAAGTCAACTGTGGCCTTTTAGATACCATTTTGACTGCAGACCACAGAGAGACTCAGGGACCATGGTTAGGAGCTTAGATTTTATCCAGGGGCAGAGGGAGCTATGATATGAGGAGGAACCTGGGCCTGCCTGCCTTCTCAGGAAATCCCTCTGGGGCATTGTGGGTGGGTTTGAGGAGGTGCCACTGAGACAGAGCAGTTAGGAGGCTGTTACAAGGCTGGCCAGAAGACAGTGGAGTCTATGAATCTATGCTCATGAGAGAGGCTGGGGCTTGAGAGTAACTTTGTGTTTGTTTTTTTGAACCATCATTAGAGGGGGTGAGATGAACAGGGACACTGTGTAGAAGTAACAAAAGCAGTGGTTCCTGGCTGGAACCTCGGAAAAGAGCCCATGAGTGAGAGGGAGAAGGAGTGGTTAGGAAGATAGGAGAAGGACCAGAAAGTGGAGAGCTATGTAGCTCCAGTAGGAGGAGTTTGGGAGAAGCAAGTACTCATCAGTGTCGAAGGCAGCAGGGAGTGGCTGTGAGAGAAGGAACAGAAAGTGTCTATTTGTCTTGGTACTCAGGAGACCACTGGTGACATGGCAGAGGCAATTGGTTTTGGCGGGTAGAAGGTGACAGGAACCAAACTGTTGGGCATCGAGGACTATGTGCCCAACAGTAAGGAACAGGAGTGAGTACAGATGACATTTTCAAAAATTCAAGTGACAGGGAAGTAGAGATCTTGAACTAGAGGCAGAGGAGGGGTCAAGGAAGCTGGGGCTAGATGGTGGTTTGAGGCTGGCCTGTGGGGGGCTTGAATTCCAGACAGTGATGGTATTGTGGGTGCTAATGATGTTCCTTGGTCTCTGAGTTATCTCAGAGGTGTATTCACAGGGGGCTGCTGGAGAAACTGACTCCTACTTCCTTGAGATTCAGCCCAGGGGTTGCCTTTGGAGAACCAGAAGCTGTGAGGGTGGGAATCCGGCTGCCCTGGGTTGGGGAAAGGTTCTCCTGAGGGGGTGGATCCAGAGGGCCCACCAATCACTTAAAAAAAAATTGTAGCAAAATACACGTAACATAAAATCTACCATCTTAACCATTCGTAAGTACATAATTCAGTGGCACTAAGTACATTCACATTGTTGTGCAACCATCACCACCACCCATCTCCAGAACCTTTTGATCATGCCAAACTGAAACTCTGTGATTAAGAGCTGATAGCAGCCACTCTCTATGGAGCACCTACCAGGCACCAGGCACTGGGCCAAGTACTTCCACATGCATTATCTTATTCCATCTCACAGTGACTCTCCATCACCCCTCCCCCCATCAGTCCCTGGCAACCACCATTCTACCTTCTGTCTCTGTGATTCTGACTACTCTAGGTGCCTCATATAAGTGGAATCACACAGGCTCACCAATCACTTTTGTGGAAGTAGTGATGCTAAGGAACAGCTGAGACCAAAAATGGACTGAGCCTGAAAAAAATGTTTCTAGTCTTAGGTCCAGGGAATCATCTGCCCTCATTTGGGATGAGGCAGTCGTGTTTGAACTGGCAAGGTTAGGAGACAGTGAGCTTGACTGGAGAGGGTGGACTGTGACTGCTTAATACATAATTGATCTCGGGTCTCATTAATAGAAGCGCGGTGCTTTGAAAAAGGGAGGTAACATTTCTTCTGTCATTTGTGTGGATCAAACCATGCCTAGCACCTCAATTCATTGGCTGTGTCCATAGGAGGACAGCCAGGTAGAAAAGGGGAGGCGACTGGTGTATATATTCTATGAAGGATGGTAGGGCTGGTCAGGGCAGGTTAGAGAAGAGGAGACTCAGGAGAAGGGGTCTCCGATTGTAAATCTCCAAAGAGCTACCGCAGGCCAGAGGGAATAGACAGTATCTGGGTGGTGCTCGGTCCTGCCTTCCTTAGTGTTTGGGGATTGATTCATCCTTTCTTCCACCCAACCTCCCTGGCCACCTGCCTAGATGTCCCATCCTTTAGATCTCTGCTTATTCACCCCCAACCCCCATCCGCTAGGCAGCCTTCTCTAGTGCTTTAGTCTACAGAAAGAAATGGAAGCACTTATTTTTTTGCCCTTAACCAAATGCTTCCCAGGGCATTCATTTACTGTGCTAGCTGTGTGACCTTGAGCAAGTCACTTAACCTCTCTGAGCAAGGATGGGAGCCCATAAACATTTTAATTTTTTCTTGAATTGGGTCTCTTGTCAAAAAAAGAGTCGGGGGGATGTATTTCACTGTCTCTCTGATTCAGAAAAATCAAGACAATAATAGTATCTATTTTCCAGGGTCATTGTGAGCATGGAATAAAATAATGCATGTGGAAGTACTTGGCCCAGTGCCTGGCACCTGGTAGGTGCTCCATAAATGGTAACTGCTGCTATCAGCTCTTATTCATGGCTTCATGTCTGTAAGCCTTATTTCCTTGTGAGTCTGTGAACTCCTCATGATGCGTCTGTGTGTGTCTGCCCATCTCTCACATGGACCACTGGAGTAGACAGTAGACAGTGATTTTTGCCTCTCTGCCTGTTTTCCACCATCCAGTTCTAGCATTCCTTTTCTTGGGGAAACCCCCTGCTGTCATCACATAATCCTAGTGGGTTGTCAGTTAAAGTGCCCACTACTCCCACCCATCCCTATCCCTCTGCCACTAAGTAGGCATGTGACCCAGTTCCAACCATGGAACCCCATCCTCCAGCAACAGTGATTGGTCCAAGGGGTGGGCACATAACCTAAGCAGGACCAATCAGATTCTTTCCCTGGGATTGATATGTGGATGCTGGGAGGAAGAACCCCTCTTCCTAGTGGGGTGCAAAACTGTATGCTTTGGCCCAAACCTGCTGACAAGCCATCTTTCCCACTCAATCTAGAAAGCTGAGCAAGGCAGCAGAGAGGAGAGGAATTTAGAGAGCATGCTAGCAGCACTGAGTCCCAATTTTGGTTCTCATGGCCTTCACCCCTGCAGTTCCTTCAGTCCTGTGAGCTGCAACAACATCCTACCCATCTATCAGAGCCAATCAATTCCTCATATTGCTCCAGCTTGTTTGGTGGGGTCTCTGTCTTGTGTAACCAATCGGAGCCTGACAGATGCACTCAGGAAATACTAAATGAGCTGACTAAATGATTGACTGAGTAATTGGGTTCCCAGATGGGATTAGATGTCTCCACATCCTGAAGCCAAAGGGTTGGGACCTGCTGCCCTGTGGCCATGGAGGGGAAGTGGAGGCATTTGGGAGATTATTGCATCAGGCTAACTTGGATTTGGGCCCCAGCTTTGCCATTTGCTAGCTGTGTGATCTCAGGCAAGTTACTTGCCCTCTCTGAACTTGAGATCCTTTGTCTATAAAATAGGCAAAGAAATAGTGACTGCCTAGGGTTGCTTTGAGGATGGAATGAGATAAGGAGCAAAAAGCACCAAGCCCAGTGCCTGGGGTGTGGGGGTGAGGGAGCAGGAGTTGGAAGAATGGTAAGAAATGGTAACTGTTTTTATTTAGTC